GCAAAGGCTTGAGAAATGGCTTGCAGAATCATGCATCCTGGTCTTAACTATAACCTTCCCCATTAGCAGACTTAATATTTAAAGATAAATATAACCACCCAAATTATTCAGTGTTAAAAATACCATAATTTTTCCTGTTTGCCACAGAGGAAAAAAATCAACACTTGTAGCAAAATCGTAATTTGAATAAGACAGTATGTAGATAGTGAAGGGTTTGTACTTGAACGGATAGTTTGCTTCAGACATATATTTGATTTCTATGTTCATGGTTCAGAATTTCAAGGATTTTGCCTCTTTAAATCATCAAGATATAAGAAAATTTCTGCATTTAACAAATGTAATTGTTCTAAAACTTACAATTAGAAAATTATGTTGCTTTATATTTTAAAGTAGCATTACCAAATGAATCAAATACTGACAAATTCTTTACATATTATATGTATACTCATTTTTTACAGGTAAACACATTTTTTACAGGTCTATGGATTTAATTATAAAATTGTCTCTATTTTGCAGATGAAGAAGATGGGCTTAGAAAGTTAAGCATCTAAGATTATATTTGTGATAAATTGTGTAACTGGAATTCAGACTTAGCTCCTAACCACAACATAAGAAACCCAAAATGAAATGAATTAGGGAATTAGCTACTTAAGGATTCAACATGGTTGTAGAAATTCTGAACCATTTCATAATGTTATTCTTAAATTGTTTTTATTTTATAAGAACTTATATTCAGACTTCTTTGAACAAAATGTTACCATCTAATATAGCATCTATCAATATTTGAAATACATAATTTTAAAACATGCTATATTTTGATTGGATTAAAAGAAATTTTGGAATCAGCCATATTTTTTCTAAATGATCATTGAATATCTTAGATGGGAAATATTAATACTTTATTTTTTGGTCCAATTCTAGAACTTAAACTGATGCTTTCACTCACTGGCTGGTATTCAACTAATTGAGCCGTACCAACCTCAACATTTTCATTTTTAAGGTATAGTATAGCAAGTTTGCAAAATGTTTACTAGACTTTGTTGTGGTGTATAAGACATATTGATCACAGTTTCATGTTTTATCATTTGGCAGAATTATGTAATAGGGCAGCTCAGCTGTTGGCCTTTTTCTTTTAAGTTATACAATTCTGGATGTTGATTAGGTTACATTCAGTAATTTATTCAGCATTGATTGTGTTTGGGTTCATGCCAGACACTATGTGTAATCAGGGAAGACATTGTCCATATTTGTGCTCTCCATGAGCTTACGTTTTATTAGAACAAGCTAACTAAAAAGTACCAGTAGATTTTATTTGTGAGATGATTGAGGAAGTACAGGTCCTACAAAAACACACGGAAGTAAGGACTAGGATTAAGGCATTAGCCAAATGAAGGAGGTTAGTTAGGCAGCACAATATTTGGACAGAGGTGACCAAATGAAGGTTCAGAGATCAGAAGTAGACAAATATCCCACAGAATATAAAGGGATTTACTTTGGCTAGAATGCACAGGTCAAGGGATGAATGGTGAAAATATCACCAAAGTCATGTGATGAACTTTTAAGCCAAGTAAAGGAGTCTGAAATTCATCTCTTTAAACAGAGATGAATTGAAAAGTATTGAATGATTCTGAGCAGGAGAAACACCTTAATTATCTATCTATCTATCTATCTATCTATCTATCTATCTATCTATCTATCTATCTATCTATCTATCTATCTATCTATCTATCTGTCTGTCTTTGGGGGTTGGTCATGGGCTTGAATTCAGGGCCTAGGTGCTGTCCCGTATTTTCTGCTCAAGGCTAGCACTCTACCATTTGAGCCACAGCACCACTTCTGTTTTTTTCTGTTTAATGTGGTACTGAGGAATCAAACCCAGGGCCTCATGCGTGCTAGGCAAGCACTCTACCACTAAGCCATATCCCCAACCCTTTAGGCTTCTATTTTCGAGTGACCATTCTGTGTAAGCAGATAAAATTTGGAGGGTCTGTTAATAAAGTAGGGTGCTAATCTATTAGGATTCTAGCTCAGTTACTTATCCACTTAGAGTTGATCTAGCTACCGAGGAAAGACATTGACTCAAAAATGTTGAGGGAAACAGTTTCGAGACATATTGGTGAGTGGGAGTCACTTTTTTTTACTGTGAAAATACTGTACAGAGGGGTTACAATTACATGGGCAAGATAATGAGTACATTTCTTATCAAGCATTGTAGCCTCCTCCTTTGTTTTCCCTTCCCAACCCTTCCCATCCTCCCCCCGCCCCCAACCCAATCCTTCCCCCCCCCACCAAAGTTGTAAAGTTCGTTTTTGCACATAACGACTTATACATCTCATTGTTGCAATGGATCCACCTCTATCCCTATTTAAATGATTTGTTTTTTCCCTTCCCCTCCACAAATTATACCAACCTCAAATATAGTGAAAGCAGGGGTTATACCATGGAGGAGGGACATACAAAGCAACAAAGAAATAATCTTATAAATGTGTTAGAAACAATCACCTGAAAGAAAAAAAAACATTTGAATACATATCTTAGGGTCATTTCCCTAACATCAACTTATCTGATCTTTTCTGCTTGACTCAGACATATACTAGATATTGCAAATAAGGGAAACCATGGGACCTATGTTTCTTTGGGTCTGGCTTACTTCACTTA